AATTTAATCCAGCAAAGTTGCTTTACTCTCTTGATGTTATGACTTCATTCTTGTAAAGTTAAAAATTTAAATTTTCACTTTTAAGGCTTTAATCCTGTAATTTTCAGCTTTAGTTCTGTAGAGCTAACATTATGACCTCATTCTCATAATATTATGACTTTATTTTTATAACTATAATAAAAAAAAAAGAATATATTCTTAGTATGGCCCTAACAGTCTGTCAAAAAAAAGGAGCACATTCAGGGAATATTTGATATTTTAACTTGAACCTTTTGGCTATTTCAGAGGTTGGAGGAGATGCCGCCCCCGAGGATTGCGCCTCGGGATGGCGGTGGGTCACCAGGGGTATTTTGAGCTATGGCTTTGGGTTCACTGTCGAAGTGAGTCATCATGCAGGGCTGAGAATCCAGCCACAGCCGGCCCGCCACATTAGAGGCGGAGTATTCCCCTCCGCCGACGTGAATCCTGACGGAGGGGTTCCGGCGTAAAGGTCGCCGGGATTCTGACCGCGCTCCACTAACACCAACAATCCAGGCTCCAAAACAAGACGCTGGGACAGATTTAACATCAGACAGCAGAGGTCATGCTAAAAATAACCCAAAATAAAAGAGGCCACAACACCTCCGCCATGCTGAGCTGTAGCTTTGGGGCTGACGCATCAGCAGATACACCGATTTAATCCTGTCTAGTTTTAGCAAAGCCTGGGCTGTAAAATCCTTTTAAACGTTATAATTCGAAACCTTCAATTACAAGCTGCTGTTTGAGGAGAAAGTGAATCAACTCCTCTGCGTCAAATTCCCTTTTTTCTTTCAAAATAAGAAGGTGTGTTATTTAGTTTCCTCCCTCCTCACACCATAAAACACTCGGCTCTGCACCACCTGCCCAGCTGTTATACTTTTATTAGCATCGTGATGTTTCCATTTGTCCCGAGGGCATTTTCTGATGCACACATGTTCGCCGACATTAAATACATTTCATAAAACTGGTTGAATGAGGTTCATTTAATCTGGACTACAATTTACCGCAGGAGTTTGCCATGCATCAAACACACAGAGCAATTAACACTGCTTTTCACTGACAGACTCTAAATAAACAACCTGTCCCTGTCAGAGTCACACAATGAAAGGAATAAATCTGGCGTTGGATCCCTGGTAGGAGGAAGATGAGCGACTTCTCCGTTCTTTTAGTACTCAACTCATTTATTCTTTTTAGGAGGTCAGCTTGGAGTAACTGGGAGGAGAGAAGCGTCTGCGCAGGTACTTGAGGATGTATAGAGGCAGACAGCTCACCAATGTGATGGCCGTCACCTTCCAGAGGAACGACACCGTGGTGATGAAGTGAACATCTGTTAAAGTGGAAGAAACGCAGGTCAGGGTGATGAAGAGGAGAAAACAATAAATCAGAACTTTAATTAAACATTAAAAAGGTTTTAGGCTCCAGTTCATAACTTTTGGTTGTACTGGAAAAAATTCTGCATGTCATATTTCTATCAACGCCAGAGACCTTTGAAGAGTTTTAAACTTTGTTTCCAAGTTTGAAGACGTTTCGCTTCCCATCAAGGAAACTTTTTCATCTCAAAATATCAGAATTAGCTTTGAGTTCGTGGACCAAAAACAAAGTCTTGCTTTTGTTTAGAAAACATGCAAATTTAAACGGACGAACGGGTCCACCCCTTAGAAATGGGGGTTGTTTGGCTTCTTTGCTAGCCTGAATACCCGATACTGGGGATGGACTGTCTCGGTTCGGTTCGCGTGTGTTGCGTTCGGTTCATGCGCTGCTCCTTTTTCACCTGTGATCGTCTCAGACGTCTGTTTAAGATGCAGAGAGCAACATAAAGAACCTTTTATGGTATGATCATGAATATTTAGATGAGCTGTGCTCTGATTGGTTGGTTTACAACGAGCGAAGCTGCTGAGCAAAGACGCATCATAGCAACAAGCACTCCCTCACTGAAACATCAAATTGATGATATATGCTAGCGTTGCTATCAACAGCTTAGCAGCAGAATCATGCTTCCAGCTTGTGGTTGCGACGGCCTTACGGTCAGAACAGCAAATCCTGCTTTGAACTGTCCAAGATTTTGAAAGCTGTCTTTGATAAAATGCTTAGAGCAAATGAA